GAGGTATAACTAATGATCCATTGATTATTCTTTGCTGACCGGACTTCTCCTTTATCTGAACATGATCAGGAAACACGTGGAAGCAGGTTTTTCCTCGGCCTAATAGCGGTGAAATGAAGGCTAGGTTTAGTGTTTAACTTTTCCTTATCCTCCTTCATGCCTTGAACAGAAGAAGTTGTTTTTCCTCCAAATGTCCGCATGTGAGGAAGTTCTTTACGCAGGGATGGGTCATAAGGGAGAGTGTGTGTGCTGGGATTGCACCAGTCAGAGCTTTTCTCTCCATCTAAGGACTTAAAATTAATTAAAACTTTCTCTTGAAGCGTTTCAGTTTCTCCACAACTCCGCACACATTTCAATGTTTTTTTATCAACTTACTTTCAACTGCAATCAGAACCGTGTCCCGGTCCAGCTGGGTAATCTGGACGGCGTTGAGGGCCCCGTTATCTGCAGGATGAAGGAGGCAAAGAGAAGTCGGTTTGATGCTCTGTAATCTAAGGCGACGGAGGGAAAGCGCTCAGCGGCTCCTCCTACCCGGCGCTGCAGCAGGAGGGTCGTTCAGCTCTATTATATCGAAGTGGAGCTGGCGGCTGGCGTTCTCGCTCTCTCTCACCCCAACGCACAGCTGGGGAAACTCATCGCTAACCAGGACCAGGAGCTCAAATATTGGCAGAGAGTCTGGAAGCCGAACCGATATGTGCTGGAAGGAGAGTAGAGAGACGGAGCGGAAATAGATTGATGGACTATTAGAGGAAAACTAAGGCAGGCGTCCCAACACACAACAATACAAAAAAAGGAAAGATTTTTCCTACTTTTTAAATGATTTTTGCTTGATATTTCGAATTAATAACAATTTTTTTCTTGAATTGAGGAGGTAATTGAGACACTTTGCCAATTGAACAAGACAATATAGAGTTAAAATAAGAAAACACAACTGCATTGTCTTATTTCCAGTGCATATTATCTAATTATCTTATTTTAAGACTTAAAATACTCATTCCATTGGCAAATTATGTTATTTACCTGCTCAAATTAATGTTAAATACACTTAATTTAAGACATTTTTTTCTCATTTTTAGGTGGTTATTCCAGTGTATAAACTTATATAAACTTATATATCGTAGACTTTACATCTTAGACCAATCAAGTGTAAATATAAACATATTAACCAAACTTCATTTCATTTAATTACAATGAAGTGCCAGTAGGGGGCAGCAACTCCCTGAGAAAAGCATCTCTTTGGTCTTATAATCAATAATAATCTTAGAATTCTGACTTTAATCTCAGATTAAACTACACTGGAAAAACTATCTAGAAATAAGTAAAAAATATCGTAAATTAAGTGTATTTACCCGTAATTTGAGTCGGTAAATTGAATGATT